CCGATGGTTAATACGGATTCGGCTATACGATTACACAGTTGAGAGAATATCTGGTACTAAAAATGTCGTGGCAGATGGACTTTCACGCATCCCTCTCGAGCGTCCGATAGTAGCTGGGGCTCTGACAATGGCAGAGCCGAGGCGCGCCGAGAGATTTCTAGTTAATCTTTACGAGGGCAAGTACCGAATGATCGGACTACACCTGACGGGAGAAAAGAGTCAAGATTCAGATATCCGGAGGCAAGCAGCCCAGTACTGCCTTAGAGCGGGCCACCTTTTCCGAAGGCCAGTAGGGTCGGGAATGCCCTTACGAGTAGTCTGTGATCCTGAGGAGAGACAGACGATAGTTGAGGAACTTCACGACGGGGTAGTCGAAAGACATAGAGGAGTCAGAGGGACCTACGACAAGGTACGCAGACTGTACTAGTGGGAAGGACAGTATAAGGACGTCGAGAGATATTATAGGACCTGCGAAGAGTGCCAGAAGAGAGCTCTTGTGAAATACAAAGAGCCACTTCATCCATCCTATCCGACCAGACCAGGAGAGAAGGTACACATCGATCTAGTGAAAATGCCGAAAGGGGTAGGCAATATGAACTACGTTGTGAACATACGAGATGATTTCACTGGGTTCGTGGACGGTAGACCTATCAGGAGCAAGGCGGCAAAGGAAGTAAAGAGCTTTGTCCTAGAGTACTTATCTAGGTACGGTTGTGTCAGCAAGATAGTAATGGACAGAGGAGCGGAATTCCTAGCCGACGAGGTTCAGAGCGTGTTCAGGAGAGCCGGGGCGAGAGTTTCGATAGCCACCGCCTATCACCCACAGTCGAACTCCCCAGTAGAGAGGGGACACCAGACTCTGATAGCGTCACTCTCCAAGTGGTGCAAGGGTAAGGACAGTGATTGGCCACGATATTTTCGATACGCAATATGGGCGGACAACGTCACGGTCCGGGCTAGTACCGGATACCCACCGTGGGCGACATTGTCCGCTTCCCATAGAGTTTCACGTCGACAGCTGGACAACCGTCGACTGGGCAGAGGAGATGTCCAGAGAGGAACTCTTAGCTGCCCGAACAAGACAGATAGCCTACGGGTTGGAAGATAACCTCATGACAGCAGTCGATCGTCTGGCGGCGGAAAGGGACAAGGGTAAAGAGAGATGGGATAAGAACGTGCGAATCAGGAAAGAGAGGGTGAGCGTAGGAGATATGGTCCTTCTCTACGACGCGGCACTGGACCTGGACCGGAAAACTCGCAAATAGATGGATGGGACCTTATAGAGTGGTTGAGGCACTCGACTGGGGTGCATATATGATAGCAGAATTGGATGGATCTAAGTGGAAGGACCCAGTGGCGGGCGCTAGGTTAAAGCTGTTTAGGCCCAGGCCCGCGCCCGCTTTATCGCTAACCAGTCCGAAAGGGAAAGGAAAAGCCAGAATGGAGGAAGGAGCCCCCTTGAGGCAATTCGAGGCGATGGAGAGTTCCAAGAAAAGGAAAAGAATAGAGAAGAGAAAGGTCAAAGGGTTAGCTCTAGGAAGGAAGAAGAAATGGTTATTCGTGCTCAAGAGGGCCAAACGGAGAGTCCGCATTAGACAAACTGGTGGGACGGCACCCTTCTCGGGCCAACGATAGAAAAAAGAGAGGATCCTACCAAGGCCGAGAACCCGGCGGGGAAGGAAAGTCAAAAAGCATCTACTTAGCCCTAGAACTCAAAACAGACTGAAACATAAGACAATTGAATGCCAACGTGGGCGTCCCTTACGGGCCATCACCCTGAAGCTCGTCAGCTTCGTCTGACGTAAGTGGGTAGGGCTCGACGGGGGTGTCGAGAAGTGGTCCGGGCTAACTGTCAGGCGGCCACAAGCAGTGTGCCGCCTGAAATCTGGGGTTTGGGTCTTAGGTTCAAACACAAGTCCGTGTTTTGACGGTCCTCCGGGTAGACCAGGCAACAAAATTAGGGGAGCTCARAGCACCCCTGATTTTGGGCACGCTGAACTTTTCAAGCAACCCTCAAAGACGACGAGATGAGTGACCGCACTACGCGCGAGCTGGGCTGAAATGAAGCCTCAAACATTTAGTTAAATTTAATATCCAAATTAAAAATGGAAAAAAAAATTAAAGATAAAAGAAAAGAAGGGAAAAGCGAAATACTCATTGATTTATTTAAAATCTTCGATGATTAACTTTTGATATGAACACCCTAAATTATTGATTTTTCTGACAATNAGCACCCCTGATTTTGGGCACGCTGAACTTTTCAAGCAACCCTCAAAGACGACGAGATGAGTGACCGCACTACGCGCGAGCTGGGCTGAAATGAAGCCTCAAACATTTAGTTAAATTTAATATCCAAATTAAAAATGGRAAAAAAAATTAAAGATAAAAGAAAAGAAGGGAAAAGCGAAATACTCATTGATTTATTTAAAATCTTCGATGATTAACTTTTGATATGAACACCCTAAATTATTGATTTTTCTGACAATAAAAATTAAAAACATGAAAAATAATCAAAAGAGACAAAAGAGAAAAGAAACAAAGAATTTTCGTTATCTAATTGGATTCCATCGGAAGTTGTTTTTGATGGATTCGCCTTTGTTCTCGATATTTTTGATGAGTAAATCAAGAAGTAGGAGAAGCAATTAAATAAGAAAAGATGGGAGAAAAGTCAAGATTGTTAACTGACTGGCGTAGTTTGGCTCCAATTATCCGCGATCGGAATTACCCCCGGATTAATCATTTATTCTAATTCTGATGATTTCCGCTATACTGTGATGATTGGGATTTGTACCCATGACCTGCCTAAATCTCCCTAATTTCCGACTTTATCGTAACCAGTGTGCTATAAGTGCGGGATAGACAGATGTGGGGCGTTACCGCTATATTGTTTAATTGTGCCGCGCCCCCTTTTTTTTCCCCGCTTGAGTTTGAACGTGTGGATCGGGAGGCTCGATACTATTACAGGATTCAGACATTCTATGGTATTTGGCACATTTCATGCACAGTATTGCCCCGACATCAATGTGGCACACGCCTGGGAGTCATCCTTTGGTTCTGTTTGGGCGCGACAGTCTGGTTCGGGCAGGTTCGGAACTATTACGGCACCGCGGCATTCTTCGATATTCGACATGTTACAGGTTCGAAATTGGGTCAGCATCGACATGGTAAGATATTCTCAGGTTCGGATTTGTTTCGGCATTGGCACAGTACGGCTGTTTTTTCGAAGTTGGTACTTCCCGACGTGGCACTCCAGTCGGGTTTGAGGCTGTTGCAGTTCAAGCTAGTAATTTTCAGCCTCGATATTAGTATGGTGTCACCAAGCGTTGTTACGGTTCAAATGAATATTATATTTTTCCTGCCTCGGCTGACACGATACAGCCACCAGAGCAGCACTGGAACAGGCTCCTATGAGTCGAAGGTATCCCTTGGCATGACAAGTATGGGGCTCGGATCCACATCAGGGTTGGTGTGGTTCATTTGTCTGGGACACAGTGTTGATTCCAACAATACGATCACTTGGACAGCACTGGTATGGCCACTGAGACGGTAACCTATGATGGTCGGTTGGGGTCGGTACAACACATGGGCTGCTTGAAGGGGGTTCTGATCTGATTCGGGGCTACTGCGGGTCATAAAATTACCACGGGTACGGCACATACGCCCTTTGGTTTGGTCGGTGTGGTATTATGACCAAAACTGCTATGACTCGGTACGGGCCACTGTGAATCAGGCTTGCTACTTCGGTACGGTGACTGGTTCGGGGGTGACGCAGCTACGGTTGTTGATTCGGGAAGTGGTCTAACAGACCCAGGCATTGTGACTCGAAGGCCCAGGGCTGCTCACACTATTACTGGGACCACTTGCTTTGATTTCTCGTGGACAGATGTATGTCACCCTTGGCACCAACCAGGGGAAAAATTGGACCTGGCTCGAAGGGCCTGGTAAGGTTGGTACCGAGAGTACCGGACCTGTATTTTTTTAAATGGACCGAAGGACGCTGCGGAGATTGAGCTGTGAACGGCCAGCACCACTGCAGGATATAGTCTGGTCCAGCCGAGCGCACAGGGGAGTTTCTTGGGCAGCGTGCTAGGCGTACACAGCCCACCACCGGCTCGACCGGTCAGCGAGAGAGGGGAACATTTGTGCGCTGGAACGGGGGCGCGCCCGACGTCCATGGTGTACTCACGCAAAGGGCCCGAATGAAGGGGGGTGCGCCAGGTGTGCCCAGCCTACATTGAGCGTGATCTGGACATGCTGTGGGGAGAGCAGCTAGCCCGGAAGATCATACCCAGAGCATGCTCGCTGAGTGGGGGATGACAAAGGCGCGCATGCAGATGAAGTGTGGAAGATTCGGCGCGTGCCCGGTGTACCCTGCCCACTCTAGCGTCGCGATGCGAGATTGAACAGCCCTTTTGGGAAAGTTGGGCATGGAGAAGAGGCGTTGACTCGAGGAACGGCGAGCAACGGAGGGAAACAGAACTTGAGGCCTGATACATCCTGTGTGCCTCGTGCCCGAAAGTGTCGAACGGGGGGGGGGGAGACAGATTCAGAGTGCGCGAGGGGGCGCGTGCCTGGTGTTCCTTGCCTGTCTCTGGAACTCGGGACAGGAAACAGACGATTAATATGCGTATGTGCGGAGGGGAAAGTTCAGAGTGGAGCAGGAGGAGAAGCGCAGAAGAAGGTGTGCCTGGTGCACGCCGTCCTACTGACGCAAGAATTAAACGAGATAAGGGGAGGGTACCAAACAGCCAGTAACACTCATCCGGCAATCAAGTATTCCTAGTATCCCTGCGTATGACGGGAGCAGCCAGGATCATTGATCTGGCAATTGGACATTACTAGTATTTCCGCTATTGGTCAGACCAGTCCTCGCAGATCAGACTGTCAAGCATTCCCTCTGATGACGGGATCTGTAAGTCTGCTGACGAGGCAGTCAATCGACCCTGCTGTTGAGGGGATCGGACACTTCGGAGTCGAGGGATCCTGCTGCTGGTGAAACCGGACACTTTACGGATTAGACAATCGGACGCTCTCTCTATTGTGGGACTAGCTACTTTCAACAGTCAGCAGCAACATGAGTGAGAGCAACAGTCATCTTCAGCTAGTGACAGAATCTGCCATC